TGTGGTGAAGCAACCAGACTGCCATTGATTGATTATAAACCAACTGTCTGACTAAACTCGATTAACCAGCGAGGATCGGATGGATTATTCTGCGTTGATCGGACGATTGGTTCCGTTTCATAGAAATTTATAAAGCAGGATTCCACATTTCTGCACGTGTGGAGTGATGTTGAAAAGGTGAACTCATCCTCTACCTACTGCTCTGGAAGCAAATAAATCAACTAGCGAACAATTCACGTCCGTATAGGGAGATGCGGAACCAATGAAGTGGATCACTCATGATCGATTAATGCAGTGTGCAGCCGATCGACTTATGACTCTGCTTGAAAGTGACTGCTCTCCTGATTGCAGTTTCTCCCTTTCTAATTTGGACATTTTCGAGTTCAAGAAACCCTCAAATCGCCCATTCGGGCTTGAATAAGCGCATGCCAGTTTGGAAGACAAAACGAAACCAGTGAACTAGCCACGTGACCATTACGGATCTAGTCAAATCATCTGAGTAGCTGAAAGACCGAATGATGGGCGTCTCGTGGTATGGAACGAACGCAAATCCACATTCTTCGACTCCGACCGAAGCAAGACCGTTGCTGAATGTAGGGCCTTGGGTGGAATGTGCGTCATCAGGGCCAACATCTAAAAGCAGACATCTTCGTTACACTGGTTTGTGATATTCCGCATATCCATTATCCTGCCCACGTACGCAGTGAACCAGAAAATTCGAAACTAATGAACACAACCGGATCTCTCACCAATTTTGAGAAACGGTTATAATTCCAGGTTTATTGGACATATTTGCACCACAGTGAGCATCGCGAGTCTGGTGGGAACCTATTTACTGAATTCGGGATCATCTAGGAAGGCTCTTCAAAACACCATTTTACACCACATTTTGGCTCTCGGACAAAAGAACCGATCGATACTAATGAGTTATGAAACGAAACCTTGAGGGCGTGTAACTAATTTAAATGCTCCTTGAAAAATATGATGACATAATTCTCGAAAACTTGCATCTGCCGCGCAGCTATATGAATGCCACTGTGGTTGGATAACACCCAAACAGGATGTGATCACCAGAAATACGTTGGTCACGGCAACACTCTGGCCCAAGGTTTTACCCAATCAGAATTAGAGAAGGTGTAGGCGATTGCTTCGGAATTTCAGGGCCCAGGGGATTCGGATTACCGGAATTATAAGCCTTCTCACCCCAGCTTTATGGTGGCGGCGTGTAGAGAATGTTTTTCACTGCAAACTTTTGTGATGTAAGGCGCCATGATTGTTGTGTAAACTCTACAGCGAAAATAAACTTCACTGAGGTCACTCATGACTCCTCTTAACTCGCTCCAAGTTCATGAGGTTCGCATGGATCAGACCTCTACTTACTGACCTCCAAATTCCCAATCTATTAATGTTGTCAGGAGCGTAGGTACCTATTATAGCCAGTTACAACTCATTTCTCAGTGTTCTGCGTTTACATGACTACTGTTATAAATATCTGAGCCTCGTTCAGTATTCTCAAAAATCCACAAGTATCTACAAACTTAACCATCCGCTTTCCAAGTGACTCTTGTGGAGCGTAGGCCTCCCGACCTACCTACTTCTAGATTCAGAGTGAACGTTCCCCAGTCATTTTGGCCAAATCTGTGGACTGCCTAGAAGAACGATCTCGCATAAATAATTCATGGGCAAATGTTCTTCCCGGACACTGACTGATGTAAACATACGATTCCTGGGTAGGATAAAACATATTTTCAGGCCAACGCTTAGCTCCGCGGTTTCTCAAGTTTGCGGATATACGGTAGGTGATCACGTGAGGCTCCTTCCTTCCAATTATTCTCAACAGTGAAAGAGCTGTGTGATTTTTCTCAACTTGTAGTCCATTTAGAATGCGACTACGATTGGAAAGCACTGGTCGCGTTTTTCTGTCTTTGACCGCAAAAGCATTCACAGTGTTACGCACAAATGCTTTCAGCATGAAACAAGCAACAATGCGGTTCGATGGAGCGCAACTAGTCGGATAAAGCTAAATAATCGGCTCAACAAAAACTAAAAAATCTGCTTGACTTACATTCATTCCGAATTTACACAGCTGTTTTGTATCTCACGCTAAAAAATGTCGGTTTTTGCGCACACATTAAGTTTGGAAGTTGGTAGGACGGTCCCCACTAAACGGTTCAGATGAATAAATCGTCAAAAATTAATTCGAATTGAGATCTTTTACTCTACTTTAGGAAACCGGTAAATGGCTGTCGGAATTTTGACAAATCTCGTCAGACTACTTGCGAGGAAATTTGTGAAAGACAACGTCTGCCAGAGGTGAAAGCC